TGCAACCAAGGCTTTTGTATGCCTTGAGGAGGTTTTCCACTAGCAACCTGCTGCAGTCTGCCTTGTTGTTTCTGAGAAAATTTATTGCCACTAACTGGAAGGCTTTCCATGCCGTCTTTTCCTTGCCACACAGTGCATGGTCAAATGCATCATCTTGAAGAAGTTCACGAATCTGAGGACTAACAAAGACACCTTCCTTTATCTTAGCTTCACTTAACCTTGGAAATTTTCCACGGAGGTACTTGAAAGCTGCTTGTGTTTTGTCAATGGCCTTGACAAAGTTCTTCATCAGACCCAGCTTGATGTGTAAGAGTGGTAACAAAATCTTCCTTGATTCAACAAGTGATGGACGCTGAACACTTTTCCTCCCAGGCTCCAATGACTGTTGGAGTGGCCAATCTTTCTTGATGTAGTGGGAATCTCAGTGACCCAGAATTAGTGAAGTTTGACTATATTTATTTCAGAAGCATTTTGGCTGTAGAGCAGTGTTACTTAATGATAAGCAAGATTTCACATTAGTGTTGTTTCAACAGATAGGGTCAACTCAGAACTTTCATTTCAATACAAGAGTACAACCCCTTCAGATAACAGACAAGAGTTGGTGAAAGTGGACGGGTCTGAAGTTTTAAATAAAATCTATCATGAAGTGAACTTTCTTAAATAACTGATCTCTGTTTCACCTGCCTTGAAGTGTGAGCTTCAACCACTTTGATAAATAGGTTTCACAGGACCCAGTATGGGGAGCTGCTCTTGGGGCATCAGGTCTCAGCAGTTACCCAGAAATGATGCGAGGGAGCAAACAAGCCCCTCTTGGGGATGGCCTATCAGACATTCCATTCCACAGGCAGGCACCAGGTGAAAACCAAGAGCATGACCCCAACAGCATCTTCATATCAAAGATCATTCTCAGGCTGGTTTCTTTCCAGACTCTGGTAATGGACATCACTGGGAGCACCATACGGATATGCGGCAATGAGGAGGAAAGAGTGTTAAGAAGGAGGACGAGGTTCTATGTAAAAAACCCTATAATGGAGTGGTTGTACAGAGTTTGTTACAAGGAGGGACAGCAAGGTAGGTAAGTGTAAAACACTGATTGTGCAGTTCAAAATTAACCTGGTATTTGTTTTCTCTTATTTTTTGTACATCACGGCCACTGATATAAACATAGCTTTGAGAATGAAGCTTATGACAAGCACAAGGCACAGTCATTTACAGAGTAGGTTCTATGTAAAAACAAGTGGTTTTATGAAAAGAAAAAAAAAGTCTCAGTGGCAAATGCCTAAAAATAGCAAAACCAAAGAATTTGGGTGGCAATGGCTAGTGAGTACCAAAAATCTATGTTTTAAAGGCAAGTCTAATTTGGGTCCAAGCTACTGGTGCATCTCAGAAAATAAAAGAATTCATTACAACTGCAAGTCCATAGAAGTTTTTGAGATGAAGCTGGCAGTCAAATTAGCTCAACAGTTTGAGATGTTTTATAGCAAGTGCAAATTGCTTCTCATAGCAGTCACAAAGGGCAAAGCATACATGAAAAAGTAAATTCCACACTCCCTCATTTCCATGGGGAGTTGTTACCTTCAGGCACTTTGAGAATCTTTTTGTTCTGCTCACACCAACCAACTGGGTGTAAGTCAGCTGTCATGATGTCGCACCAAAAGTCTGCCTTGCGGTCTTCCCCATAGCCATCGTAGCGTAATAGGAGCAACTGCCCACAGGTAGTGATGATGGTGGCTACCCAGTAGGTGTTGTGGTCAGACTTGATAGCAACCTCTAGCTTCATACCAGGGGCAAAGCCATTCTGCAAACTAGTGTCCACCTGAAAAAGGTAAAAACAACCACAACTCAGTGGCTTACACAAACTCTATGGTAAGGGAGGTAAAGCACACTCTTTTCTATTTGGCCAGCAGCCCTACCAAAGCTCAGACAACTGTCACCTCCCAAAATGCCAGTCTGCCTCCTCAGGGACATATAAGATCATCTAAATAGTTAAACATGATCTCATTTTAAATGGTGTGAAGGTATCTTTTTATCATTAATTAAAATAAAACCTGCTCATTGCAGTACATCATCCTTTACCCAAGAGCTCAGTAAGTCACAACTGGGCATTCAGGCCAGACAATGCTAAAAGTAAAATATTTCAACACACTTTGATCCCTGGTGTAAAAGAATAACATTTTCATTATTCCTCATTATTTTGAAATATCCCACTTGGCACCTCTAACAAGGTCTGACTCAGCTGCACAGCAAATTCCAGGCTTTAATGACTTTTCTGAGGCTGCTCCCTCTGAGTGCTGGTTAGCATACTGTCCTGTTCTTTCACTAAACAGATGGCTTCTCCTCTGTCAACAAATTTTACTCAATGTTTTGCTTGCCTTCAACTGCACTTTGCTCTCTGTTTGTTTCTGTCCTTCACCCCAGTCACTGCACCCCCTTATTACTTCTAATATCTTAGAGGTTTGGAATGGTTTTACCATTGCATTCCAGTAATGTCCACATAAAGCCTAAGACTGATATACACAATTTGTAGAACATTAAGATCATTGAGGAGCCTCATTTTATTCACCCTGTTAGCACCATCATTAACTTCTTTCCAAGATAAAAAGAAGTCTGGCTGCACAGTCTTCCATACAGAAGCTTCTATCCTTTTCTCAAAATGAGAATGCAGTACAGGATGCTTCCCTTCCAGTGGTTGAAGTAGTTCTGACAAGGCAGGAAGACCTTAACTACTTTACCACTAGTACAGTATACATCTGAGCTACCTTTTATTCTACATCTCTGTTCCCAATTTTAATTCAAAATCTAGCATTCAAGCTCTTTTCCACAGCCGAATCGGAGTTAATTGGTGCATACACATGGCTGGTCTCAAGGCCCCATTTCTCTTGGATAACTGCTAGAAATACTTTGCCACGAGTCAGACACAAGTTGATTGATTTTTTTTTTTTGCATGTGTGTGTTATTGACTACCAACCTTCTTGTTACTGGCTGGCCTGTAATTACTTGGATTATTAGATTTTAATCAACCATCCATTTAAGCAGAAGTTTATTATACATAGAAATGTCAAGAACACCAAAAGAAAACCAAGGCATAAGTTTATAGATGCCTATTATTAAGTGCTCGGCTTAAGCTCTTGCTCTTCACCTTTGGAGTTCTTGGTCTGTCTATTTGACATTCAGAATCCTTAAGAAAAAAAAATCACCTAAAACCTGGGCTATTTAAAATAAAAATTTAAAGAGAACAATATTTTACACTCTAAATTTGAGAAGAAAGCCACAAGCTCACTTCTCTACTGCAGCTGGCAACATCTTCTGTACAAAATCTGAAGGAGGCAAAGCAATTCTGTATTTCCATGACAGTAAATGGGGTTCCCTTCTCACTGTATTACAGAGATAATCACATGGCATTAGAAATGAACACTCTGATAGAAGTAGCCACCAGTGGAAGTACTGTAGTGCCATATATAGTCCCATGTAACTGCAATAAAGGTTTGCCCATTCACCAGAGGATCCCTTGGAGTGAGAGAGGTGAGTGCCCTCTTCTGGTAGAGAAACAAGTCTGCAACAAAATTAAATTTTGTAGACAAAATGTATGGTCTGGCCACTGACGAGATTCTGACGGGTGAGACACCCTGGGTAACAACTCTGAAAATCTGTTAAACTTTCAAGCACAGAATTTAGAGAAGAGAATGTTATGTCCTGCAAGTATAAAACTGAGTTGCCTTACTGAGGATACATCTCATTATTGTTTGTATTGCAATAGCACATAATGGCCCCACTAGGACAGTACCCCATTGTACTAGTTGCTTTACAAATACAGAAAGACTTTCTCTGTCCTAAGAAGATAACACTGATTAACAACAAGATGTAATACGTATAACAGGAGGAGGGAAGAGGTGTTGTACAGACAGAATAAGGGAACACAATCATGTGGGTACATAAGGCAATGATGTGCTCAATTTCATGGCCATACACAAGTTACACATGCAAAAAACATGGGAGCAATAGAGCTTCTCAAAGAAAAAGGTTGCTAGAGCTGGGAGGGAGGGGTTAGTTGCTTTTTCTTTTTTTACATGGACAAAACCACAATTTTTCTCCAAATCTCATTCTCTGGAGCTGATAAACTCTTAACTTAAAAGCTTTCCAACAAATTTCAGTCAGAAGCAGACACCTAGCAGGGAAATTTCAGCCAGAACAGTTAAAGTTTAGCAAAGTAATAAGCACTAAAAACAGTCTTATAATAGAAAGTGTCTGGCAACCTGAATTACAGGCAATGCTTCCAAGTCTTCCTATAAAAATCCAACCATCTCCAATTGTCAATCAGCCTCGCATCACTATCTGGCTATCATCCCAACTATAGAGGAATGAGAAAGAGTGGAAGGGAATGCATAGGCAGAGAGATTAACAGATTTATTCGTTCAAGGAAAATAAGTATAAGAATGCACAGAGAAGCTAAACACCTGGTCACAGAGTACACAAGTTAAAATAACCTTGTTCACAGTCCTCACCCTCCCAGTCAATTGCTATTAATTGCTTGTGAAGAGGAAGCAAAATGCTTCCAGGTTCCTGAGTCAACTCAGTATGTGGACTAGAATCATTTGCATGGGGCCCATGGACTTATTTCAGGTGTCACAGACTAGATCAAAGGTTCTCCATCTGTACATATGCTAGTGATAATGGTATATTTGCATGAAGAGCTTAGTTACATGGTGCTGATTCCCTTGTTTCTAGCTGCAAAATCATTCATGGATTCATATATTAACGCTAGAAGGGACCATTATGATCATCTAAGTTTGACCTCCTGCATAATACTGGCCTTGGAATTTCATCAAGTGGTCTGATGATTATTACCCTCACTAAAGAAACTTCACCTTATTTCTAGGCTGAATTTGTCTAGCTTTATCTCCAGCCATTACATCTTGTTATCCCTTTGTCTTGTAGACTAAAGAGCCCTCTACAATTAGAAGTTACTGCCTATGTAAGTACTTATGGGCTGAAGAAGTCACCTCAGAACCTTCCTTGTTAGCTAAATAAATTTAACTTCTCAACCTCACAGTAGAACAGGTTTTCTAGACCTCAAATCATTCTCATAGCTCTCTTCTGAACTCTAATTTGTCAACATCCTTTTTAAAGTGTCTATACTAGAACTGGACATAATATTCCAGGGATGTTCTCACTAATGACATATACAGTGGAATAATACCTCGCTACTTCTTATTGACAGGCTCCCGCTTATACATCCAAGCATTTGCTATCTTGGTCCTTTGAGTCACTGCTTACCAAAATACAGTCCCCCATCTAGTAAGGGTGACATATATTTAGGGCCCTTCGTTTTCATTTATTTTATTTTATTTTCCTGGCAATTTATCAGTGTTTATTTCCACAACAACTAAAACAGGTGAAAATCAGTGTAAAAACCTATTAATAATTTTTCTGGGTAAATAACAGGGTTGATTTTTGTGGACAGAAAGGGAAAAAAAGTGTTCAGTAGATTAATGCTTTGAATTACGTTCATCAATGCGGTTTGCTTCAGAACTAAAAACAGAACTCAAAACACAATACCAAGTCTGTTGCAGACTTAGAACTATTAGCCTATAAATATTTGCATTTAATAATTGGGCCACACCATTTGCAGCGCATACACTCAACTTCATCCTTTTCTCCTGTTTTTTTTTAAACTTTGAATAGTTTTGTGATGGGTTGGATCACAGAAACCCCCCTGGGAGCTGCCACCCGATGTGCCAAGACTACTTCTGCCCCCTGCTTTCCCTGCCAGCTCGGGACCCCAGCACCCTGTCTTGCTGAGCCAGACACTCCCGTCTGCTCCAACACAGACCCAGGGTCTGAATTACTTGCCCCAAAGCTGCAGGTTTACCTGAAAGCAGCTAACAGAAGTGTTCCTGTCTTTAACACTCAAATGCCCAACTCCCAGTGGGGTCTAAACCCAAATAAATCCGTTTTACCCTGTATAAAGCTTATACAGGGTAAACTCATAAATTGTTCGCCCTCTAGAATACTGATAGAGTGATATGCACAGTTGTTTCCTCCCCCAGGGGTACATACTCTGAGCTAATTAATAAGTAAAAAGTGATTTTATTAAATACAGAAAGTAGGATTTAAGTGGTTCCAAGTAGTAACAGACAGAACAAAATAAGTCACCAAGCAAAATAAAATAAAATGCGCAAATCTATGTCTAATCAAACTGAATACAGATAAGATCCTCACCAGTTCCAGAATGCTCCTTTTTACAGACTAATCTCCTTTTAGCCTGGGTCTAGCAATTACTCACACTCCCTGTAGTTACTGTCCTTTGTTCCAGTTTCTTTCAAGTATCGTGCGTGCGTGCGTGTGTGTAGAGGCTCCCTTTTTAGCCAGCTGAAGACAAAATGGAGGGGTCTCCCAGGGGTTTAAATAGACTCTCTCAAGTGGGTGGAGACCCCCTCCTCCCTCCTATGCAAAGCCCAGCTCCAAGATCGAGGTCTGGAGTCACCTGGGTAAGTCACATGTCCATGCAGGACTCTCAGTCTTTACAGGCAGAAGCCATTGTCCACATGGTATCTTGTAAGTCTCCAGGAAGATTTCTTATGTGGATTGGAGCATTCCAAGATGCATTGTTCCCCAAGTGTTTCCTGATCAGGTACTTAACCTTGCAAATTCCTTCCTAAAGAAGCTGACCAAATGCCTCACAAAGCTTACTTAGAAATCAAGCAAGTATACAGCCAATATTCTTAACCTCAAGTACAAAATTATATATATGTACAAATAGGATGAATAGATATAGTAGACTATAACCTTTACAGAGAGATGTTACATGGCACAGGC